TCTGACTTTTACCCAGTATGGTCTATTGGGTTGATATTCGCTCTTTGTTGTCTTTGTTATACATAAAGCCAATTTTCTTCACCTCTGGGTCTGCTCTTCGTTAACTGACTGTTGGTGAATTGTTTATAGCTGAGGGGTCTCTAATGCCAAGCCAGTGCCCCACCTCTTATCACTCCATGCCTGCACTCCTCTGTGCCACATCCTGCACATCCACCTCTCCAGTCTTCTGCTGCCCTACCAGGTCTGTATTTCTTTACACCCCATCATTACACTGAAGTCATGAATAGCTCATTCTGCATACAACAACTGCTTGTTATGGCTACCTATGTAAACTTACAGTTGCATCATACAAAGATAAACGTAAGTAAAGGAAATTAGGCATAGCCACCTGGCCAATTAGCAAAACTGCTGCTACAGCTGAGCAAAGTAAAAACGAAGCTGAAGGCAGGTCAAGACAAGTTCAGACAAAGCAATCCCAACAAGACTCAGCCCTGAGGACTTGCAAACTCAATAAAAAGAGTGTCTCCTATTACGAGCAATACCAGTATTGCTTTTACTGGGCTACAGAGCTATATCATCACCCCTTGCAACTGGGAGCCAATGGTTTTTCTTCTATGCACCTTGCTGGTGACATGACTTCAGCTGCATCAGCCAGATATGCTTCACTCACCTTTCCAAGACCAGCAGTGTCTTGGATTCAAGTATTTTCACTATCTCTGCCCGTGATTTATACTTTCAGTGTCCCTGACTCCAGGGGTATTTTTAGTGTAGTTCTCTATGATGATGATACAACACAATAACCTCGCTGCTGATGTGCTTGATTTTAAATGCTTTTTGACACGAAAATTCTGTGATGTTCTGGGCCATGACTGCACTGCTTATCAACCAACGCAGCGTAAGTACAGGGCAGTCTGAGCCCAGTAGCTCAAGTCTGAGAAAGAGCACTGCTGTGCAGTGAAAATCTGTGAAAATTGTATTTCTTTCTGAGTTTTGACAGTACCTAATTAAAGTTGGTTTCATGTGCAGAAGTGATGTCATACATACATTTCTGGACAACAAATAGGAAATGCCTAATATATTTCTATACAGCTAACAAGTGAATGAATACCCGGGTATTTTGATCACGTCTGAATAAACCCTTAGTTTACACCAATGCAAAATAAATGGAGCTCTCTTTGTCTTTGTTTGGAGAAAGAAAATACAATAGGGGTCATCACAAATGCATAAGAACAGAGATGGGGAAAAGCTTAGCCACTTATCTGGGCTCCAGCTTCCCTTTCAGGAAAACTTCAGTTTCTTCAAGTTGTAGAAGAAAGTTACCAGCTATGGTAAAGTGCCCTGGGCTTCTGGATGTAACAAACATCATTCAGTGATGCAATGAAAAGCAGATAGGTGGCCATGACGGAACCCAGTGTCCACAAAGTGGCCTGTCACCATTGCATTTTACCAGTACATGACAAACCACTTGTGTTAGGTCTTGGCAATAGCACAGCAAGAACTTGAAGTGTCCGCTTCATGTCTTGGCACTCATGCATGTCCTGGAACTGATGAGAATATTTGGCACCTTTCTTTCCCCATGGCCTTCATTCAGGATTTTTAATGGTCCTCTGTCTATTGCACTTAGTACCTGGAGTACAGATGGGTTCATGTACTCACGGGTTCATGAGTGATACCTGGATTTAGACAAGGGGTCTTTGGCTTGGAAAAGAGCTACCAGGCTGAACATAGGGCTACATAACATAAATGGTGTAGAAAAGGTGGACAAGGAGCAGCCTCACTACTGCTTGTCTAAGAGAACTAGGGGTCTGAATGAAACTGTGAGGCAGAGGGTTTGAAAGTGAAACAACTACCTTTACTGAAATGATGGCATTAAGCCTAAAAGGGTGCTGTGAAGGCTGGGAGGGTGAATAAAATCAACGTACAGTGAGACATATTGGTGGTGTTTCAATGTTGGTTACCATACACAGTGGTCCTGACACAGCCCCTAGGCTAGCAAAACCTGAGACTGCTGACTGCCAGAACTGGCAGACAAAAAGTGAGAACCTCCTTCTACCACCCAGGTGCAGCAGAAAGTCAAAAGCATATCAAACAACTCTGGGGACTGAGCTCTGGGCATGGCTCATGGTTAAAGGACACTGCAAAGCACACACTGCCAGCTAATGCAAGCCGGCAGCTCATTTCCAAAGTCCCTCCATAGCCAGCGATGGGGTTCATCCAGCTACCTCCATGCCAGTGCAGCACCCTGACCACTTACACAATGTTGCTCCAGCACTGGAATTATATTTGAGCAACCTGAGAGCTATGTGTGAATACAGAATTGCAGTTCATTCCAAATTTGATCTCATTTTGGTAATGGGAAGCAAAGAAGGACAGGTGAAAATCATTGCAGAAACATCTGCCAGACTTTGCAGCATGCTAGGAAATAATGGTGTTTGTGTTCTGGTGATCTTAGTAGGTGCATCACAAGATTACAGGAAGGTCATTCTGGAAGGGGAAACCAAGATCCCGATGAAAGCTCTCTACTGTGAGGTCAGCCCAGGTTCCTCAGTACTTCATGCAGCTGAGTTCTGAAAACTTCAAAGCATGGAAAGTGTACCAACTCTTTTGAAAACCTGCTCTTACGCATATGCTACATAGAAGACTTTGAATCACATCTTTATTGATGATTTCATGTGTCACAAGCAGAGTGATAATTGAAGGAGGATATTTTTGCTGATAGATCTTGAACAGGACATTATAGGAAAATGTAGAATCAGGCCAGGATGGACAACACAAAAATGTAGGAACTCTTACCAACATGTAAGGAATTGCAAACAATGCCCTAGAGGATTGAAGCAAGGGGGAAAGTCATTCCACTGAATTCCAAACTCAGGCCAGAACCATTACACAAATCACCCAATCTTACCAGTAAAGATAGTTTCGTACCAGTGGACTTGGTAAAAGAAATGTTGATGGAAGGTGACTGCCAGTGGGAGGTAATGGGAAATGTCTTACACGTCTTCTGCAAGATGGGCCACAAAACGTAACTTGCCTCACTGTATAAACATTTCATTATAAAGGTAGAACCAGAGTTTCAAATAAAATGAAATAAAATCACAGAATCGCAGAATGGTAGGGGTTGGAAGGGACCTCTGGGGATCATCTAGTCCAATCCCCCTGACAAAGCAGGGTCACCTACAGCAGGCTGCATAGGACTGCTTTCAGGTGGGATTTGAATACTTCTAGAGAAAGACAATCCACAACCCCTCTGGGCAGCCTATTCCAGTGCTCTGTCACCCTCAGAGTGAGGAAGTTCTTCTTCATGTTGAGACGGAACTTCCTCTGCTTCAGTTTGTGCCCTTTGCCCCTTGTCCTGTCGCTGGGCACCACTGAGAAGAGTCTGGCCCCATCCTCCTGACACCCATCCTTCAGATATTTAGAAGCATTTGGAAGACTCCCTCTCAGTCTTCTCTTCCTCAGGCTAAACAAGCTGAGCTCCCTCAGTCTCTCCTCATAGGATAGATGCTCCAGTCCCCTCGTCATCTTTGTAGCCCTCCACTGGACTCTCTCCAGTAGCTCCTCGTCTTTCTTGAACTGAGAAATCCAGAACTGGACACAGGACTCCAGATGGGGCCTCACTAGGGCAGAGTAGAGGGGGAGGAGAAACCTCCCTTGACCTGCTGGCCACACTTCTCTTAATGCACCCCGGGATACCACTAGCCTTCTTGGCAGCCAGGGCACACTGCTGGCTCATGGACAACTTGTCATCCACCAGGACACCCAGGTCCCTTCTCCACAGAGATGCTCTCCAACAGATCAGCCCCAAGCCTGTACTGGTGCATGGGGTTGTTCCTCCCCAGGTGCAGGACCCTGCACTTGCCCTTGTTGAACTTCATCAGGTTCCTCTCTGCCCAATTCTTCAGCCTGTTCAGGTCTCACTGAATGGCAGCACAGCCTTCTGGTGTATCCACCACTCCTTCCAGTTTTGTGTCATCAGCAAACTTGCTGAGGGTACACTCTATCCCTTCATTCAGGTCATTGCTGAATAAGTTGAACAAGACTGGGCCAAGTACTGACCCCTGGGAACACCACTAGTTACAGGCCTCCATTTAGACTCAGCACCGCTGATGATTATCCTCTGAGACTGACCATTCAGCCAGTTCTCAACCCACCTCACTGTCCAATCCTCTAGCCCACACTTCTTGAGCTTGCCTATGAGGATGTTATGCGAGACAGTGTCAAAAGCCTTGCTGAAGTCAAGGTAAACAATATAAACAAAACAAAGCAAAACAAAATAATATAAAATAACAAAATTAAATTAAATTAAAATAAAATAAAATAAAATAGTATTAAACTTTATAGAGGACAGGTGCACTATAAATAACTTTAGTGATCACTGCAGTTTTAACACAACATTCTTTTTATTCTTCTCAAAAGGGTACAGAAAACAAGAGATTTTAGCCTCCTTGGATCAGATCACTGGCACGGGAAGTTTAGTCTCCTGCCTCTTACTTTGGAAGAGCAGAAGTGTCTTCTTTACTTCTCATGTAGAAAGAAGGAGATTTAGGCAGCACAAAGGGCCAGCACAAAACTGTGGGGTGGAGAGGACTTGGCACATAACTGAATTTCATCTACGACTGGCCAATTCAGCTGTTCTTCTGGCTAACACCTGTGGAAATACATTCTGAAGAGTTATGGAAGGCTTTTAGGGCAAGGTTTTTTGCATTAAATATATTTCATGCAGCAGTATTTTTTAGTTCAAAACCAACCAGACCAGCACAACAAAAAAACTCCATAGTTAGTTCTGTGGAAATTGTTGAAGCGCCATTTCAAAAATTTGTGTCAGAACTTTCTGAGTTTTGCTTCTTTCTTGGTAGTAGAAAAGGGCAGGTACTAAAAAAGTAATTTCTGGGAGCTGTTGAGGGTTGTCCATGAGGCATCTAAACAGAAAGCTGAGCTGGCAAGTGTTTATTCTCTTGTTCACTGGGTTCGGCAACATGAAAGACTTCCCAATCAGGTCCTCACAGTCTAGTCCAGAAGAGGGCACAAAGGGAACTTGCTAGCACCCCAACTGGCAAAAAGCTGATCCTCAAACTAGCTGCGGCATCAGCATTGCACAAGTCAGAGTAACAGCAGGAGACGGGGCGCGTCATGCCAATCCCATCCACATCAGATGGGACGCAGATGGCAGAGCACATCTTGGTGACGGTTGAGATTCCTATGAAGGGATAAACTACAACAAAGCAAGAAAGAAGGAACAGTTAGGAACAGGATTAATGGAGGAGAACTCTTCCTGTCCCTAGTGCAACATGAGCTACTTTCACCACCAAAGCCTTAGCTCCCGTCCAAACACAATTGGACTACTTCCTACCAGCAACACAGGAAACAATTCCTGCAGAGTGACCACAAGATGAACTGCACCTTATATCCTCTGTGTTCTGTCTGGATCAACTTTACCCTACGGAAGGTCGGTTAGGCACTTCTTCTGCCTCTGTTTTGACTCTACTCGCTTTCTCCTGACTCTCCCATGTGCAACCAGAGCCTTACCAGCAGGACCATGCAAAAGAGAGAGCCTCTGTCTTTGCAGTGCATTTCTTTACTGGGACAGCTTATGATGTGTAGGGTCACCAGTCAGACTGACGATGCCTTCCTGAGAGCTCCAGAGAACTCAAGGGTATTTGTTTTGCTTCCAGATGACCAGAAATTGGTAGTCCCACCTTACTGATCTTCTCTGATCTCTACTGGCCTCTCTACTCCACCCAGCTTTCATAAACAATTTTCGGGTCAGAAGAGCACCTTTTAACACATACCCATTGTGCAAGTCATGCAAATGGTCTGGAAAGCCAGAACTCTTTAGCTCCATGCCTCAAGCTCAAGTCAACATGTTTTTTCTAACCATGCTCAACACTGAGCATTAACTACTAGCTCGCATCCAGGAAGTATTCACTCACGTGAAGACTGCTTTCTGCAAAAGCAAGAGCCTGCTCCCTGGCCTGTGGGAGCTCCCTTCCAGGCTTACATATTTAAGTGAGAAAAGGTACTGCTCCCCACAACAGCAGTCGTCACTGTAGAAACACTAACTCATTAAAAATATGGGTAAAAAAGTCATTGCCCTTACCATCCTCCAGGGAATACATGGTTGTCTTGCACATCGTTTCGTTCTTTGCGCAGTTCTGGATTGTCAGGCACTTATCAACAGCAGTAGGTTCACGGCAAGTGTAACATTGCAAGGTGTGTGCTGCAAGGAGGAAAAACACAAAGTTGGGCTTACTGTGAACCACCATATTCTGTTTATGCCTCTCCAGGCACCTCTGGGGACGGTATGTCTCCAAAATATTCATACTGAGAACAGTAATGGAATAGTAAAAGTTATTTATACCAATGGGAATGAGAAATACAGTAGTCTGGTGGCCAAAGCGTAACCTCAGATGGGAGTTCAGATCCTCTGCAACAAGTCAAGCAAGACAGATACACACACACAGAAGATCCCATAATACAGGAAAGTCTTATCAACAGCAGGATCTTGAAGGTTTGGAGCACAAAGATGGTCCGTCTGCTCTTGTTTTGTTATTGGGAGTTTGGTAGGTTGGCTTTTTTTGCAGATAGGTCTTAAGCAGTCCACAAGAGACTGTAAGGATAATTTTACTTATTTTTGAATCTGCCCCCTAGCACATGCAGTAAATATAGGTTGAATGAGCCAGGACATCCCAACTCCAACAAAAATGATGAGGGGGACAAAAAAAATCAGGAGTAAATTCATTAAAGGAGTGAGGAGGAACTGCTTGACCCCTCTGCTTCTCCCTTATCAATGTGAGGGTAATTGTGTTTCCTAAGACAGGGCTGACTATTCTGTGCAGTGACTGGAAGCCAGCAGACAGAAATTGCAAAATGCAACATCTCAGTAGTTGAATTCTTTGAAGATCTTGCCCTGGGTCCCAGCAGCCAGCTAAGACATGCAGGCACCCAGGACAAGTCCAATACTTTAATTGTGCAATTTCAAGATTTTTTTTATTTCAATCATTATCACAATTAGTCAACAGACCCTGCTTCACATGTTTATGACAAGTACCTAACTGTTCTGCTTGCCAGCCAACCACATGCCCAAATTCCTTTAATCTGTGTTATTTCCACAGGAGAGTAAACAAACTTGCAGCTGCTTTACCTCAACTCTTTTCTTACTCTGCATCTGCATTTCTCTTTGCCTTTGCATTAGCAGAGCATCAGAAAAAGATCAGTCTCACAGAGTCACAGCACAGTGGAGGTTGGAAGGGACCTCTGGAGGACATGTAGTCCAATCTCACTGCTCAAGCAGAACCACCTAGGACTGGCTGCACAGGACTGCGTCCAGCTGGGTTTTTAACATCTCCAAGGATGGAGACTCCACAACCTCCCTGGGAAGCCTGTGCCAGTGCTCCATCATCCTCCCAGTAACAGTGCTTCCTGATGCCCCAGCTCAAACATCTTTTTCTCACAGGAGAGATGATGATCTTTGTGTCCCTTCTTTGGACTCTCTCCATGTCCATGTCTCTTTTTTACTGGGGAGCCTTGAACAAACACAGTACTCCAGCTGTGGCCTCACCAATGTTGAGTAGAGAGGTAGGATCACCTCCCTTGACCTGCAGGCTATACTTCATCTAATCCAATCCAGGATGCCAATAGCTTTCTTTGCCACAAGGGCACATTGCTGGCTCATGTTCAACCTGCTGTCCACCAGGACCCCCTGGTCCTTTTCGGTTGAATTGCTTTCCAGCTGGCTGGCCCCCAGCATATTTTGGTGCATGGGGTTGTTCCTCCCCAGATGTGTGACTTTGCACTTCCCCTTGTTGAATGGTATGAGGTTCCTGTCAGTCCATTTCTCCAACCTGTTAAGGTCCCTCTGGATGGCAGCATGACCCTCTGGTGTATTAGCCACTCCTCACAATTTTGTGTCATCCACAAACTTGCTGCATCCACATAGTTAATGACAATGTTGAACAGGACTGGATCCAGTATTGACCTCTGGGGTACACCTCAGGTTACTGACCTTCAGGTAAACTTTGTGCCAGTGATCACCACCCCCTGGGCTCAGCCATTCAGCTAGTTTTCAATCCACCTCACTGGCTCTCATCCAGCCCATAACTCAACAGCTCGTCTATGAGGAACTTATGGGAGACAGTGTTAAAGACCTTCCTGAAGTCCAGGTAGACAATATCCAGTGCTCTCCACTCATATACCAGGCCAGCTGTTTCATCATAGATGTTTATCAAGTTGGTCAAGCATGATTTCCCTCGATGAAGGGTTCAGATACACAGAAAACTCAGACTTGAATGTGAGTTGCAGCAGGGAGAATTTCATCTGGTGCTGTTCACCCTGTCAGCTCTTTCCAAATACTGGGAGCTCTCAGGTAGGAGAGCATCCCAGAAAGAAGGAGCTGTATCCATCAAATTTACTGAGCCATGAGAACAAACTAAGCACAACCCTTCCCCTTTGCTGAGATTCTGGTTTCTTGAGAAGAATGTGTAAGAAGTTCTTTTAAAAAGATGACAGTGGCCACAACAATAGAAAGCATGGAGACATGTACTGCTCTAGACAGAGACCACAGACACAGACTTTGGTACCCAAGTCTCCAAATCCAGTCCAAGGTAGATCACCCTGCCTCATCACTCACCAGTTGCTAGATGGTCTTCATCACCTCCCTGTTGAGCTGCAGTGGCCCTTGCAAGCCTGCAGGTGTCAATTGACTGCTAGACATGCAGAATAACCACAGCCCGAGTCTTTCAGTGCTTAAAGTCTTTTGACATGGTGAAATTTTAGCGAGAGACGCTGAAGAGCCCAGATTGTTGTAATGTAGTATTTCCAGAGCACTCCAATATAAAGACATCAAGCAAAAATGGTGTCTGGTATTTCCTGTCACCAAGGAAGACATTTCTGGACAGGATTTCCAGGGCACTCTGCTCTCTGCAGGTCTTTCCGAGGAACCCAGCACTTGATCTAGGTCCTCTTTTCCACCCTCCAGACAGACACCTGAATGTGTGTGCTTTGCAGTCACAGCAATGTGTTTTCGTACCATCACAGACCTGCAGCCCCTCCCTGGTCTGGAAAGCAGTTGTCACCCCACCCATGTGACAGACATGCTGAAACCCTTTTAAACCTTGCTGAAAAAGAAAAACAATTCAGCTCATCTCAGCACACCTAAAATAGAGTGTTATAACAGCAGGCTCAGGCAAGCAACCCACCTTATGAAAATAGATAATGCAACTTCTCCCTAACTAGTCAGCCAGAAAGAGCCCTTTTATAAACAGACACTGAAATTACCTTGCTTTTATTCAAAGCAGACTTTATTACTCTGTTTTGCCCATTGTGGAATGATGTTTTGTTTGCATTAATTCTACAGCTGACAGCTGACAAATACATCTTTAGGGAGGAAGCTTCGTCGTTATTCTCAGATTTCATGATACTCCTCACTGGACAAGGCAAAGCCACAGCATCTGTGCTCTTTGGAAAAAAAAACCAAAAACCAAAAGCCACAAACAATAGATAAACACAAAGGGACGTCAAATTAAGAGATCATTGTCCCCAGTGTGTGCAAACCCAGTATTTTCATTAACCTCACTCAGATTAACAGGTTCAAACATGGCTAAATATGTTAAATAGTAGCTATAGATACGAGCATATCTTTTTTTTTTTTTTGGAGATCGAAATGATAGCAGGTCAATAAGTGTTTGGCACAGTAAAATAATCAAAAGCTGAAATGAAACAACTTTACTTTTGCAAATGAGGCAGCTCTTCAACAACAATAGTCAGACGGCATCTCGCAGAGCAAGGAGGAAACTCCATTACTTGGTGATTTAAAGACCTGTGGTCTAAAAGCCCTGTTTCAAGCAAGCTTTGGAATATCTATCTGGTCTATTTGTGAAGGGTAGATATCTGTGACTGTAGTGGTCCCTTTTTGTTTTAAAAGCCTATGAACTTACACACAGACAATCAGACATGCAGCAGCTTAAAAATGAATAAAAAAGGAATAGAGACATATTAGAAGTCTTATTTAAAATTAGAGGTAAATGTAAAATGCTAAAATATGTCAATATACTTATAGTGCTGTCTTTTTAGACTGCTGAAAGCAAAAGAGGAGACAAAAATCAGAAAATCTTGGAATTACTTAGAAGAGATTTTACTAGCTTCACTTGGATATTGGCAGATCTTCCATCCTTCAACCCTGACTGTCTTGCTAAGAAATGCCAAAACTACACAGATTCCACTCATGCCCAGAAGAAACTTGAAGGAACTGCAGACTCATCATGGTTTTCTCTGCACACTCTCCCCTCTGCAAAGCTGGGATATGCTTTGCAAAGAAGAGAGAGTGCAGAGGGAAATTCTGCTTGCCAAATCCACTATGAGGTTGTGTTCCTCATAGTGGATTCTCTGCTTGCCAAATCCACAACGGTTGTGTTCCTCATAGTGGTTCCTCTGCTTGCCAAATCCACAACGGCTGTGTTCGGTGCGAGCAGGTGAATGACCTGCTCAGCCTGGTGGCAGAACTGAAGGAGGAAGTGGAGAGGCTGAGGAGCATCCGGGAGTGTGAGAGGGAGATCGACTGGTGGAGC